GCCATACGGTGTTATGTTAGTTTCAGGTGTACAGTATAGTGTTTCAATAATTCTGTTCGTTACTTCGTGCCCCCCCCCCCCTTTTTTTAGGGTCCAGCAAATATTTCTCATTTCTTTTATTTTTCCTTTTTAAATTTTTAAAATGTTTATTTTTGAGAGAGAGAGAGAGAGAGAGACAGAGTGTGAGCTGGGGAAGGGGCAGAGAGAGGGAGACACAGAATCTGAAGCAGACTCCGACCTGTCCGCACAGAGCCCCACGCAGGGCTCAGACTCCCAAGCCGTGAGATCATGACCTGCGTGGAACCGACTGAGCCACCCAGGTGCCCCTTCTCATTTCTTTTAAAATGAAGAATTTTACCTAGGAACATGTGCATAAGTACAGTACAGCACTCACTGTCTGTCTTTAGATGAAAACAGTCTTTGGAAGAAGTTGAAGAGAATACAGGGCTGTGAGGAACTATAGGAAATTCAGGTGCCTCTCAAGTCCACGGGTTTGCAGAGCGTTTAGAGTGCCTCCCTTCTGACCACACCTTTTGTTTCTTTAGTTACTCAGCTTCTGTCAACAAGTCCTTGGAAATGAAGGGCTAAGCATCTCGTTTCGAGAATTTGAGTGCCTTATTTTCTCCTAATTTGTCTTGCCTGCATGTTTATTTTAGTATTGTCCTTAGGCAGTGACTTAAGGTGTAAAAATTAAAATAGGGGTTCCTGGCTGACTTAGTCGATACAGCATACGATTCTCGATGTTGGGGTTGTGAGTTTGAGCACCACATTGGGTGTAGAGATTACTTTAAAGAACAAAATTTTTAAAACGAAATACGCTGTAGAAAAATAAGAGCCAAAAGTCATAATCCTATCATCTGGAGGTAATCACAAAACACTGGTGTTTCTCTTGTTTTCCATGTGTCTGTGTGGAAGTGTTCAGTGTGTTTTGTAACCCGCCCTTCCCTCGTTTCAGTGACACACTCAACACATTATCTTTTGTTGTCTGTGAGTACTTCTGTTCCCAAGTTTTAAGTTCCCACAATATTCTAAGACTGTATCCATAATTTAACTAACCAGTTTAAACGTTAATGTTTTCTCCTCCAGTTCTGGATTATTCTGTGTACTCATTTAGGTGAACATTCTCATAATGAAAAATTGAGCCTATTTTAATTATTTTGTTAAATTCCTTAAGAGTAGAATTGTTGGGTCAGGGGCTGTGTGTATTTTTATAGCTTTTGATGTTGTTAAATGACCGCCTAGAAATGTTAAGCCAATTATTATTCCCACCAGCAGTTAAATCAAGTGCCTGCCTATTGAAGGGATGTTAAGCAATTATTCAGTAATGTTAAGATTTTTTTGAACGATTTATAAGCAGTAGATTTTGATTTTGTTTGCCCTTTTAGATTTTCACATGTTTTATAAGAAAGCTTATATATAATTATATTCCCATCAGCAATACAGTGAGAATCACATTAAATTAAAAAATAAAAAGAAATTTTGACGGTACTTGGAATTCTTACAGCCAAGCAGACTACTTTTTAAAAAATGTTTATTTGATTGATTTATTTATTTTTAGTTATATTTTGAGAAAGAGAAGTTGAGAGTGAGTGGGAGAGGGACAGAGAGGAAGAGAGAGAATCCCAAGCAGGCTCCACACTGTTAGCACAGAGCCTGATGGGGGGCTCAAACTCCCAAACCGTAAGATCATGACCTGAGCTTCAGGAGTCAGACACTTAAGTGACTAAACTGTCCAGATGCCCCCAAGCAGACTATTTTCTTTTTTTTTTTTTTTAAATTTTTTACATGTTTTATTTATTTCTAGGAGAGAGAGAGAGAGAGACCGTGTGAGCAGGGGAGGGTCAGAGAGAGAGGGAGTCACAGACTCTGAAATAAGCTCCAGGCTCTGAGCTGGCAGTCAGCACAGAGCCCGACGCGGGGCTCGAACCCACAAGCTGCGAGATCATGACCTAAGCGAAAGTTGGACGCTAAACCGACTAAGCCACCCAGGCGCCCCCCAAGCAGACTATTTTCAAGTGTGTATAGTTAAGGTGTTTTACCTTAACTACCTTACTACCTCCAGTTTACCAGAGAACCAGAAGCTTTCCTGACCTGGTGGCTTTCTGGGTAAATTTTAGGTATACCCTTCATTCTCTCAAGTTGCCAAAGCCTAGGAACCAAGTAGATTCAGAAAACTGTGGATTTCTCATTGCGTGAACTCAAGAAGAGCATACATTTGAACAATGAGGGATCCTTGGTATGAATTGGGGTTGTTGCTTTGGAGGGAACGGCAAAGCGAGGTGTGTGGTTTGATTTGGATTTTGAGGTGTCCGGGAAGGATTTTCTGAGGAATTGGTAATTTAACCAGAGATCTCAAATGTGAATAGGAATTCCGTGGATGATCCATCCTTCCAGATCCACCATCCTTCCAGGTGGTGACCTCCAGCCTTCATTTTACCTTTACGATGCCTGCCATTTTCAAGGCCGCCCCAGTCTGTGGCCCCACCCTCCCCTCTCCTTTTCACCTTCATCTACCAACATTATTAGGAATCTTGACCATTCCTAATGTTCCTTGAGAATGTTGGCTCCTGGCTTGCTCCTTTTCTTCCTACTGTGTCTTCTAACATCTTCTCTGAGTTGTTGGCTCATCCTGCCTCTGAAACTCCCCCTCCCTTCACAGGATTTTCTTTGGGAGTTTTATTTCCAGTTACTTCCACTTTCCTGGGCCTTGCCTCTCTCAGATGACACGTGTGGAACCTTGAGCTCGAGAGCCTCTTCTCTGCATACATCCTGTCCTTCCCAAGATCCCTTTCATTCTTGCCTACTAGTTCTTGATCCTCAGGCACTCCGGTGCTCTCTGGCTCCCTCCTCCCTTCCTCGCCCTTTTTACCTGCTCTTGACTCTACAGGGAGTCACGGGATGGTCCTTTTGCTGACATCTTGGTTTCCTCACTGAATTGTCTAGGTGACTTCGCAGCCTTCCTCAGTGGCACAGTCCTGCTGTTGTAAGTTCTGTGTGTTTTTCCTGTTTCTTCTTTTTTGTCCGGCACGCTCTGCTGGAGAGAAACCAGGTATTGGAGTGACTCTGTCTGTCACCCATGTACAAGTTCTGGGCTCAGCCAGACCCTTGACTTTTTGTTGTTGTTCCTTCTGTCATCTGCTCACTCCTCTTTTCTCCAGTTCCATCCTCCGCCTCTCCACCATGACTTCTGCTTCTTCGTTAAAAGGTCATAGATAAATACTCCCTCAGCTTCCTGCCCTACCTCCTTGAGTATTGAGAAATTGTAGCTATCTGAATACATCTCTGCCCACTTTATTCCAAAGGAAATGAGGCAATCCCACTGATGGTCTCTGTGGACTGTTGTAACAGATTCTACGTTTTCCTGCCATGGTCACAGGAGAACTGCTTCTTGTTCCCTGGTTTACGGAAATCCATTTGTGTTTTCACAGAAGGGAGGGTCTTAGAAGGGGCGCGACCCTTGGAGAGGGACAGGTGAAATGGCCTCTTGAGATGACAGCTCAAATGTAGCCAGTCAGGAGTCTGGAATCTCCATTGCCTCTTCAGTGGCCTTGCTGATCGTAAATGAAAATCCCCCGAAGAGGGAGGTGGGATTGGAGGTGATGAGGACGTCAAATTTATTTGTAACTGAAGAAAAATAGATAATAGATACACATGGAAAAAAATTTAGGAGGTACTGAGGACAGTCGAGGCAGTTAAGTCTCCCTCCTTGTCCGATTGCAGCTCCCTTCTCAGCAGGCACCTACTTGTACCAGTTTTTGTGTGTCTGTTTTGTGTATCCCATGTTAAGAGTTTGCTTTTTAATTGTGAAATTTAAAATGTAAAAAAAATGAAAGGATGAACACTCAAAAGCCAGATACTCAGATTTAATACATCTAAACATGCTGTTGTCTTTGCTTTAGGTCTTCCTTCCTTTTAAAGAAAAGAAAACATTTCAGATACTCTGTGTTCTTTACTAGTGTCCTTTCCTTCTCTCCCAGAGGCAACCCTGCATCCGTATTTTTACTTTTGAATCACAGGTTTCTATTCCCGTAAGCCCACATCACATACAGTATTGACCATATGATTTAAAACCTTAAGTGAGCGATCTCACGTGATATATGTTCTGTAGCTTGCTTGCTCATTCAGGAATGTTTTCAAGGCTTGCTGACCCGAGTAGCTAGATAGAGTTCATTCATTTTAACTGCTCTTTTAAAATTCTGTTTAAGTATCAGAACCTCTTAGACTTTTATATTCTGTTGATGTATTGGGTATGTACTGTTAAAACAGGGTCAAGATGCTGGATCAGTGCACACACATCTTCGACCTGCTAGATGCTACCAGATTGTTTTGCCAAGTGTTTGAACCAGTTTACATTTCTGGCAAGAGAGAGGGAAAATTCCTGTTTGTCCACAGTCTTGCCAACAGTTGGTATTATTAAACTGTTTTGTACTGGCCTCATCTCATGGGTGTGGGATGACCTCTCATTAACAAGGATATGCCACATTGGTTTACCCATTCACTGGCTGAAGCTGAATGACTCCAGGTTTTGGCTACCATAAATAAAGCCATCATAAACATTTATGTGCACGTTTTGGATTGAACAGAAGTTAAATTTCCTGGGTGTAGGTAGCCAGGAGTAATATCATTGGGTCATAGGGTAAATGTATCTTTTAACTTGATAAGTAATGGCCAAACTGTTTTTCCAAAGTGGTTGTGCCATTTTTATGTACTGACCAGGACCTAGGGGAGTTCCACTTGCTCTCTGTCCTGATCAGAAGTTGGTGTCTCGTTTGAGCAGTTTTCATCATTCTAATAAGTATGTCCTATATTTTTTTAACTCAAAGAATTAAATTTTAAAAACTGGATATTTTAAAATGACTTAGAGTATTTGATTTTTGCCCTTCTTATTCAGTACCCCCCCCCCCCCAATTGAAAACCAGAGCATTGTGTTAGGGGAACCAATATGGAGTCTTTATTTTAATGACCTCATCCACCTACTTATGATTTTTCCCCCCTTCCAGGCCTTGAATAAAATTCGAGAATGCTTGTTCCATTACGAAAAACAGAAGTGCAGAAACCACAGAGGTAGGTCGACACCCTTATTTTACAGAGCAGAACACGCGAGGCCCACTAGTTGATGACTCTCCTGCACGTACACCATTGTGCGTGGTCCGCAGTGTGGGCTTCTGGACTCCAGTGAAGGGCTGTCTCCCTCCAAGCCTCGTGTGCTACTGCGTGGTGCTGACCAGGCGATGTTTTGACGTGAATTTTGGGTGTGGAGGATGCAGCCCTTATAATGGATTTACCCTGAGAGCTGGAGAAGCTTGATTTTACTTTCAGTGCTGGAATTCTGGCATGTGCTGTTGGCACACATTCTGAGTCGTACTTTGAGACCATGAACAAGTAGCCAGACTTTAAATGTCAGAGAAGCTAATTCAGTGGTCTTTGATAGTCAAGGTGAAAAATTTACTCCTCTCACCCAGATGTTTACCCTTGATCACAAAGCTACCATATGAAGGAAAATAACATTTATCCAGGTTTGAAATGTGTACTGATCCATTTCCTTTTGAAAACTTAGTAACTGGGGTTATTCCAACATGTGTTGTTTTGCCACATTGTGTCTGTCTCTACATTTATTTTAAGAGTATAGTTTTGGCAATTCTGATATAACCACATATGAAATAGGAGCTTTTTTTAAAATGTCACGTGATCTCTTTTTTTCTTATTGTTTTTCTTATTTTCTTATTGCTAGCATACTGATTTATTTACATGGCTCAAGATGGTTCTTGCAGCTGGTGGGAAGGAGAGGGCGTACCTCCACGCACATCCCGTTGGCCAGAATGTAGTCATTTGGTCACATCTCACTGCAACAGAAGCTGGGAGATGTTGCCTGAATTTTGTTGGTTTTATGCCCAGCTTAAAATCAAGGGTTTTTGTGATAATAAATTGAATGAGAGAGGACTCTTGTTGGAGACACCTGGTGGTCTCTGACACTTCTGATGAAATACAGACATTGCGGTATAAAACGATGTATAGTTCGGAGTAAGTTGTATATGAAATGTTATTTTAATTGTTTAACTTTTTGTGTGTTTGAAATTTTCCAAAACTTTATTGAAACAGTTTGGTATTTTCCCTTTTACTTTACCAAGTGCCAATTACATGTTGTAACACTAGAGGGTGCTGTAAGTCAGTGCCTTTGCTCTTCGGGTTTCCAGAATTATTTCTCCACCCCAAGTTGGCTCTTTACAGAATCAGAGTAGTTTCAGTCCAGCTGATAATCCTAAACTTTTCTGTTGTTTTACTCCATTTTTCAGCATTGAAATGTCAATATGTAACATTTCTTTGGAAAGGCAGAAATAATCACCAGATATAAGGATATTTTTTCAAAACAGTTTAGATTTTGTCCTTAGAAGGAAAACCTAAAGCAGAGATGACATTAAGCAAATATTTTCAAATGCATAATGATTTCTGAAGAGTCAAACGTTTTTTTCCAGTATTTGTCTTAAGGTTAGCCTTTTAGTTGCTTTGCATATTTTTGGGGGTCTAAATTTACTACACGTAGAGGTACTAAGATTTAAATTACTTCTAATTTGTCGCTTAATAGAATGGGAAGGACATAAAACTTAGAAAATCAGGTAAATGCAAAGAAGAAATTCTCAACGATAACCCACAACCCTCGGACCAATTCAGAAGAAATACTCAGAATCCTGCTTTACAGAAATGACTACTGCACAGTGATTGGTGTATTGCCGTCGCCTTTCCTAGTATACTTGTACATGCATGTATGCAGTACTTTACAAAGTGAGCAAATCATGAGTCAATGCTAGTGTTTGGGATGTTTTTTCTGTGTTCGTTTTTTAAACCAATTTTATCATTTTTATTTATTTGGGGTGGGGGGGGGGAGAGTGTGTGTGAAAAAACAGAGAAGGGGCCAGGGAGAGAGACAGTCTTAGGTAGACTACTTGCTGTCAGTGCAGAGCCTGACATGGGGCTCAATCTCACAAACCTTGAGATGATATGACCTGAGCCGACGTCCAGAGTCAGACACTTAGCTTTCTCAGGACCCCCTTCTGTGTTCATTTTGTAACCACCTGTCTTTCTGGAGTATCTTATTCTAGGTTTAAACTCATTTTCTGAGTTAGACTCATTACCTATAAATAATTATTTTGTCTTTCCACTTCTAGCATTAAAACTTTTTTTTTTTTAGTTTATTATTATGAGAGTGCACGAGAACACCTGAGTCGGGAAAGGGCAGAGTGGGAGAGAGAGAATCCCAAGCAGGCTCCGTGCTGTCAGCAAGAGCCCACCTGGGGGAAGGGGGAGTTCGATCTCACCAACTGTGAGATTGTGACCTGAGCCAAACTCAGGAGTAGGATGCTTAACCTACTGAGCCACCCAGGTGCCCCTCCAGTATTAGAACTTTTAAAACCTTTTCGTATGGTAGTAATTAGGACAGCCTTCTATAATGGAGGCTGTCACACTCCATCTGTTTCTGGCTTTCGTGGGCACCACTTGGGGATTTCAGAGTGAGTATCACTGGCTGTTGGCATGAGATAGGGATTCTTTTGGAGGACTTGTTTTCTTCTGTGTTGAATGTGCTAAGAGTTTTGTTTGAAAATTGATGCTGAGTTTTAGCCAAAGCCTTTTTGTTTTTTGTTCTCATATATAGCCTTTCTTCTTTTTACCTGTTGATGTGAGTTGTAATACTAGCTTTTTTTCCTTTTCATTGTTAAGTTGGAGATCAAGATGGTACGAGATTTCTAAAATGGTTGACCCGTCTTTTTCTCCTTTTCCAGTGCTCTGGAGCTGAGTAGCATAGGAAGTGACTTTTCCTTAGTGCTTGGAGACATTAGCCTGGGAAGCTACGTGCGCCTGTGTTATTTCTGAGTGGAAGGTTTCTATCTGCTCTGGCCTTGGGGGCATGTTTAAGAACCTTCTTGGATGTATTTATCAAATTTCTCTCTTTTTTTTTTTTTTCTTATTTTCTAGCTAATTTTTCTTTTCTTGTGCCTTGTGTACGATACTTTATTTCTTATTCTTACTTTTTGTAAGGGTGTTCTTACAGTTTCAGCCTCACCTTTGACCCAACAGTTATTTTGGAGAAAGGTTGAAAATTTTGAAGTTGTTAGACTTTGTTGGTTAATTCTTTTGATCTCTTTGGGCACTATGCTCAGGCAGCGAGAAATAATAAATGCTCCTTTTTGTGGGGGTTGAACTTTTCATTCGCATTGATGGTCAGTTTTCACAAATTCTCTTTAGACAAGAAAAATAAAGTTCTGTTTTCTGTGCAGTGCACGGTTTGATACTTACCATATTAGCTTTATATGATCATTATATTTGTCAGGTTTCCTAATTAAAAAAAAGGAGACTCACGTGGAGGTGCCTGGGTCCCTGTCCCTCCAGCGTCTTGCACCCACCTTCTTGGAGTGTATTTATAAGCCTTCGTTATGTCTGTGAAATAATGTTTGGAAATAAAAGCTGACATGATACTCCAGTTGTGAATTTTTTACTTGACCAATGTGAAGTGACCCTCTTTGTCCCCATTTATTACTTCCTAGCATGATTTCATTGTGTCTTTATTTAAAAAATTACAAGGCGGCGTCATTGTTGCTTTACTTGTGTTTCACTTTAATATGTAGGGTGCGAGTGTTTATTTTCTGGCGCATCTGAGAATACGTTGAATTTAACTCATTTTACAGGTTTGGTTTGTGTTTTAGTTTTAAAGTTTGTGTTTGGTTTTAGTGTTTCAAATTTTAAAAGTGGTTTCCTTTAAGTAAAACACACACAAAAACAAACCCCAGAAAACCCACCCGTCTCTCCAGCAGTTATCACTATGATCTAACGGTGTTTTAAAACTCTTGCCTGGAAGTTTGGAAAATGGGGTTTAGCATTATTTTACTGCCTGTCTTCAGTCTTATTAATGTAATCTTGCTTGATCTGCTTTATTGTTATTACATTTTTCATATCACCTAGCATATGCTTAGAGAATAATTTGACATTGCATTCAGTCTTATGATCAGGTTTATCTTCATTATTTAGTTTTGTCCTGACCTTGATGCTTGGGGTTGGCATACATGATTGACAGACAGCCCGGTGTATTAGTGGCCTCTCTGGATTTTGCGTCTTATGTGGTTGGAATAATAACCCTCAACCTCTCAAACCGCACCCCCCCCCCCGCCCCTTTTACTTTCTGAGCCTGTGCATATCTGTGGCTGCTTTTATTGTGATGGGGGGTGCTTTCCTACATTAAGTGCAGCTTGTGTCCCCCAAATAAAATTCTTTGGGGAAACCTTTTCCTCAGTTCTCTGTCTTCATTTTCTATTGCCTTCTGGCATTTTCATGCTGCCTTGGAAAATCCTGGGGCTTGTCTTAATTATTGCTATTTAAGTAAACCAAACATTTTTTCCTTCTCTCTAGATGTCTCTACACCCCTTTCTTCCTGTATCTAAATTATTTTGCCAGAGTGTGCCCAAGTTTAGGTTTGTCTCTGATTTTGCATGAATTTGCCTTTGTGATCTCTGTACTCAGCTTTTTTCTAACTCTCAGAGTAGTTGGTTTTTATTCTATATCTTTTTTATATCTCCTATCCCATTTGTCCTTTTATAAAAAAGTTTTATCGAGATGGAATTCACATATGGCAGAGTTGTCCCATTTAGCACATACAGTTCAGCAGCCTCCAGTGAATCAGACTTGCGTAACCATCACCATCAAGTTTGGAACATTTCCTTCATCCCATAAAGAAATCTCAAACTCATTAACCGTCCCTCCCCATTCCTGTCCCCCATCTCCACCCCAGCCTTAGGCAACCACTAATCCACCCTGTCTCTTGAGATTTGCCCAGTCTGGACATTTCACGTAACTGGGAGCCCTACATCATGACTGGTGTCTTTGTTCTCTGTAAGTCTAGTCAGGGAGCACAGATAGTTCATGTCTTGGTTTTGTTCTTTGCTTTTGCCCCTCCATGGTTCGCATCTGTGAACTGTGGACTGCCTTTCTGGACTTTTTCTGGTCTGTCCGTGTTTCTCAAACTTGTCCTCCACCCGTTAATTTTCTCCTGTTTCCAGTTTTCACTTGTGTTTGTTGCT